TGCCTTGGATATCAATCAATGTGCCTTCTGTAAGAAGGTCGGCCACTGCTGAAGGAAATGCACTGTGCTTCCAAGGGAACCATCATCAGAGCCCAGCAGACTCAAAAGTGGTAGGGCCTGATACTTCCTTACCTCCACTCCGCACTGGACTATTAGCTACCGAGAGATGGCGGAGCCTACAGCGTGACTCTTGAAAGTGGCAGGGTACGGGTATAACTCTTTTTTTGTTCTTTTATTGAGACGGAGTCTCGCTCTTGTCGCCCAGGCTGAGGTTGGGCAGTGGACCGCGATCTCAAGTTCACTGCTAAGCTCCGCCCCCGCGGGTTTAACGCCTATCTCCGCGCCTTGAGCCTCCCGAGTAGCTGGGATACAGGCGCCCACCACCCTCGCCCGGCTAGTTTTTTATTATTTTTTAGTAGGAGACCGGGTTATCCGTGTTAGCCAGGATGGTTCTCGATCTTCCTGACCTCAGTGATCCGGCCCCGCCTTGGCCTCACAAGTGCTTGGGATTACAGGCTTGAGCCACCGCGACCGCGCCGTATTAACCTTTCTATTAGGTGCGGAGCAGATGGACTCCGTTCCTTGATTCAATACAAGTGGATCACTTTTTTTTTCTTGGTCCTCTTTCTCAATGATGGGACCAGCCAAAAACACTGGCTTTTCGTATCTTCCCTAAGTTGTCCTCCAGGGCCTCTGGGTTTCTCACCTGCCTTTTTAGTACTGTCTGAATGCCTGACCTCTTACTGGGGAGAGGTTTATTGACTCAGACCAAGTCATGGTCACCTTCACAGATCATAAAGCATAGAAAGTGTTACTTTTGTTCCTGACCCCTCAGGGGAAAAACGAAGCTAAGAATGAGCTGTCACATTTACCACCTGAGGTGTGGTCTCAAGTAAATCTTGAGGTTTGGGCCATACAGGCTCTGGGAAACGCACTAAACATCTCCTCCATTCAAACCCAACTTCAGCCTAGTGCTCCTCGCCCTCGAGGATTTAATTTTTATGTCTCAGAAGTAAATAAATAAACCATCAGATCTCATGAGGCTTATTCACTGTCACAAGAACAGCATGGGAAAGACCCGTCCCCTGATTCGATTACCTCCCACTGGGTCCCTCCCACGATATATGGGAATGATGGGAGCTACAATTCAAGATAAGATTTGACTGGGGACACAGCCAAAGCATGTCACAGGTTATGAAACAAATTTATTTACGAGGCCAGACTTAAGAGAGATGAATCCCTTGACCATCCCAAGGAAGAGTGGTTAACGGAGGCAAGTTGTTTTATGCATCAGGAAAACAGGAGGACTAGATATGCTATTATTAGTCAGCACAAGAGAATCAAGGCACAAGCTTTGCTGGCCTCTACCTCAGCTCAAAAACTGAGTTAATTGAACTTACAAGGACCCTGCAGTTGGGAATGGATTTAAAAGTTAAATACTTTACCTTTAACTCTTCGACAATACATTTTAAGGCAAGAAGCATGAGGGAAATTCAACTCTTTCTTGCCAAATTCTTACCGTATGAGTTATTAAGGCAATGAGCTTCTCCTTACAATACTCGCACATCACTAGATGAAAAGCCTAATGGCATGAGTTACTAAGGCCATGAGCATCTCCTTACAATACTCGCATGTCACCAGATGAAAAGCCTAATGGCAAGTACAGATTTGTCAGAAACCTTACAGCATTAATAAATGCAGTTGTCTCCATACACCTCGTTGTCCCCAACAGTTACCAAGTCCCAGGGGATGCAAACTGGTTTACATTCCTAAATCTGAAAGACACATTTTTCTGCCTCTCAGTGCATCTAGATTCATAATATGTTTGTCTTTGAATGGACTGATCCAGATACACATTCAGCCTCAAAACTAACCTGGACAGTCATCTCTGAAGGGTTCTGGGATAGTCCCCACTTATTTGAAAATGCTCTAGCTAAGGACTTAAGAAATCTACAATTGGAAAGGGACACAATTATTAGTATGTAGGTGACTTGCTCATTGCTAGCCCAACTAAAAGAGACTCAAATAATAATACTGTTAAGTTGGTAAATTTCCTGGGAACTTGCAGATACACGCTATCACCATACAGGGCTCAGATTTTGACTCAAAGACTTAAATATTTGGAACCTGTCTTAACCTCTGGAACTGATCAACATCCATAGAAGATAAAAAGTTATTTTAGTCATCCAAGGATCCCAGTTCAACAAATGACTGTGGGTTTTTTTAGGAGATGGCTGGGTACTGCTGCTTATGGATGCCTAGATTTGGACATGTAGCCAAGCCTTTATATGATATACAAAAAGGAAAGATTTAGAGCTCCTAGAATGTAATTAGAACTGCAAGCAAACCTTCAATACTCTCAGGGAGAAATTGGGCTCTGCTGCAGCCGTGGGAGTCATCCCCAGGTTGGATGAACAATTTTTTCTTTATGTGGCCAAAAAACAAGACATAGGCCTTGGGTAATCTTGTCCCAAAACTGGGGGACATTCCAAGGCCAGAAGCCTAATTTTCTAAGCAGATAGAAGAGGTGACCTCAGGGTGGCCTTGATGTCTTAGAGCTATTGCTGCTACCACTTTTCTAGTAGGCAAAGCTAATAAACTAACATTAGAACAGCACCTACAGGTTTTTGACCCCACAACAAGGGAAGATGGTCCTAGAAGCTAAAGGGCACCAGTGGATAATAGGAGAATATTTATGAAAGTATCAGGCCTTATTGGTAGACACTCCAGACATAACCCTTAAAGCCTGCCAAACCATAAACGCAGCTACTTACCTGCCAGAGTCCACAGGTGCTCCCAGCCTTTCCGTCATACAGGTTGTATTAGTCTGTTCTCATGCTGCTAATAAAGACGTATCTGAGGTTGGGTAATTTATAAAGAAAAGAGGTTTAATTGACTCACAGTTGCCCATGGTCGGGAAGGCCTCACACTCATGCCAGAAGGCAAATGAGGAGCAAAGTCATATCTTTTACATGGCAGCAGGCAAAAGAGCTTGTGTAGGGAAACTCCCCTTTATAAAACCATCAGCTGTAATCCCAGCACTTTGGGAGGCCAAGGCAGTGGATGACCTGAGGTGAAGAGATCGAGGCCAGCCTGGCCAACATGGTGAAACCCCGTCTATACTAAAAGTACAAAAATTAGGCATGGTGGTGGGTGCTGTAATCCCAGCTACTCGGGAGGCTGAGACAGGAGAATCGCTTGAACCCAGGAGTAAGAGGTTGCAGTGAGCCGAGATCATGCTACTGCACTCCAGCCTGAGCAACGGAGCAAGACTGTGTCTCAAAAATAAATAAATAAATAAACCATCCGATCTCTTGAGGCTTATTCACTGTCACAAGAACACAGCATGGAAAAGACCCGTCCCCTGATTCGATTACCTCCCACTGGGTCCCTCCCACGATATATGGGAATGATGGGAGCTACAGTTCAAGATGAGATTTGACTGGGGACACAGCCAAAGCATGTCACAGGTTATGAAATAAATTTATTTACGAGGCCAGACTTAAGAGAGATGAATCCCTTGACCATCCCAAGGAAGAGTGGTTAACAGATGCAAGTTGTTTTATGCATCGGGAAAACAGGAGGGCTAGATATACCATTATTAGTCAGCACAAGAGAATCAAGGCACAAGCCTTGCTGGCCTCTACCTCAGCTCAAAACCTGAGTTAATTGAACTTACCAGGCCCCTGCAGTTGGGAAAGGATTTAAAAGTTAACATTTACACTGATTCCAAGTATGATTTTTTTTGGGGTTCATGCTTATGCTGCAGTTTGGAATGGGTAGGGACTCCCGACCCCCAAGGACTTTTCCATACAACATCATTCAGATTTTGAGCTTGTTAGAATGCTGCTTTGCTGCCAAAACGTGACTATAATTCATTGCAGAGGACATCAAAAGAGAGACTGACCATGTAAAAGGAAATGCCCTTGTAGATGCCACGGCCAAGGCCCCTACACTGAAAGGGCCAATGAAGCTTATGGGCGTGCTGGTCAGCATACACAGAACTGGGCCAGAATACTCTGAAGAACAAAAATGGGCCAGGGATTGCATTTCAGTCCAGGGCCCTTCTGGCTGACTGAAGGATGGTGACAAATTACTAATGCCAAGTACCAATCATAGGAATATAATTCAGCACCTTCATGATTCTTTTCACCCTAGAAGGGATTATTTGTTTCTGTTAATGTCTCGTTTGTTTATAGGGGTAAATCTTTTCAAGACACTAAAACAGGTGACTCATCACTGAGAGCTCTGTGCCTGACATGACCCAAATGGTCAGCAATTTTCTCCTTCTCCAGTTAAACCTGTCCAAAATTGAGGAACCTCTCCAGGTGAGAACTGGCAACTCTAATTTACTCAGATGCCTTTCTGCAGGAGATTCAAATATTTGCTAATGCTCACTGATACCTTCACTGGTTAGATTGAGGCATTCCCACCCCATCTGAAAAATGTTTGCCAGAAGAAATAACTCCTCAGTTTGGGTCATGTAAAAGCCTGCACAGTGACGAGGGCCCATCTTTCACAGCAGGTGTATCCCAACACTTATCCTCAGCTTGAAGAATCCAATATTACCTTCATTCTGCGTGAAGACCACGGTCCTTTGGAAAGGTGAAAGGGCTAATCGCACTCTAAAGAAGACTCTAGCTAAATCAGATGCCTGTCTCTAACACCCATAGTTTACTGTGGGTTTGAACTGCTCCAAAGTAAAACTTATAATGAAGTCCTGTTGAGTTAACATACAGAAGGCCTTTCCTAACCACAAATCTCCTAATAGAGGAAAGGACTCATCAGTTACAAAAATATGTCCTCAATCTAGGACAGGTGCAAGGCACTCTGTGAGTATGGAAACAAGAGTCCTCCCCTCCCACAGGGGAGGAAAATTCAGTTTCAGGTCAGCTAGAAATTGAGTCTTAGTAAAGACGTGGAAGGAAGTTCTCCAGCTGACCAGCTTTCCCCAACGTGGAAAGGACCACAGCAGGGATACCTGAGCTCCCCAACAGACGTTCAACGCCAAGGGATGCACAGGTGGGTACACCTGTGTGGAAGTCAAGCTGTTGCTTATTCTGGGAGCCCAGTGCGAGGCTGGGGGAGGTGGGCGCGGGGCTATTTCAGCATTGGCGGAGGGCGGGCTTGGTCACTGCGCGTCTGCTCCTCCTCCTCGCGTTTCTCCTGCCGCCCTGATCCCGCCTTAGCCATGAGGGAGATCGTGCTCACGCAGGCCGGGCAGTGCGGGAACCAGATCGGCGCCAAGGTTGGCAGCCGGGGCTCTGAGGGCCCAGCTCGGGCCTGCGGGTGGCCAGTGAAGATGTTGGCAGTGGCGGGGGCGGGTCCCCTGCATTGCGGCCCCTGGGCTCCCTGCTGGGACGCGGTGGGACTGCGCGGCTGGCGAGGCGGCCAGGGTGGACCCCAGGGACACAGCGGCCTAGGGATGGGGGTGCGGAGGGTGGGGGTGGGAGAGAAGCTGGGGTGCCCCGTGACTCAGCCCTGGCCTGTCCGGCCCCTCCCGTCTCGCAGTTCTGGGAGGTGATCTCTGATGAACACGCCATCGACTGCACTGGCACCTACCACGGGGACAGCCGCCTGCAGCTGGAGCGCATCGAGGTGTACTACAAGGAGGCCTGCGGTGAGACCCCCCGACCTTCCCCACCGCCCTCCTGGGAACGCGGCCTTCCCCTTGCTCATGCCCTCCCGCCCCTCTCAGGTGGCAAGTACGTGCCCCGCTCTGTGCTCGTGGATCTGGAGCCGGGCACCATGGACTCTGTGCGCTCGGGGCCCTTCGGGCAGATCTTCAGGCCGGACAGCTTCATCTTTGGTGAGCTGTGGGTGAGGATTGGGGTGAGGTTCCTCAGCCGCTCAAAATCTAGGAGTGCCCCAAGGTCGTCGCCGTGAGAATTGTGGAGCCAGGGCCCCTGAACACCCTCCTATCCTCCGAGTCAAGTCGCTCCAACTGCTTCCTAAACGGGCTTTGGGAGGAAGGCCCAGGTGTCTCTTCAAGGTCAAGAGCTACTGATGTCAACTCCCTGCAGGGAGCTGAGCTGGGGCCGCGGCTACTGCCTTCCCTGAAAATGGGCAGGAGCCACCTGCAGCGAGGTCTGTTAGCCTGTCTCAGGTTTGACTCCTGACTTAATTTCTAACAGGGGAGGCTGCTGTCCTGTAACTCTGGGGGAGGGGTTTCATTTGCTCCACCTGCAGGGAGAATGGTGCGCTCACCTCATGTGACACTTGACCCTTTTTGCATTATGGTGACCACTGATGACCGTATACCTGGCCATCGAGTGACTGGCTGTACTGTCTTACAGGTCAGAGTGGGGCCGGAAACAACTGGGCCAGGGGGCACTACACAGAAGGCGCGGAGCTGATGGAGTCAGTGATGGACGTTGCCAGAAAGGAGGCTGAGAGCTGTGACTGCCTGCAGGGTTTCCAGCTGACCCACTCCCTGGGTGGGGGGACGGGGTCTGGGATGGGTACCCTTCTGCTCAGTAAGATCCGGGAGGAGTACCCAGACAGGATCATAAACACATTCAGCATCCTGCCCTCGCCCAGGGTGTCAGACACGGTGGTGGAGCCCTACAACGCCACCCTCTCCGTCCACCAGCTCATAGAAAATGCAGATGAGACCTTTTGTATAGACAACGAAGCGTTATACGACATCTGTTCCAGGACCCTGAAACTGCCCACGCCCACCTGTGGTGACCTGAACCACCTGGTGTCTACCACCATGAGTGGGGTCACCATGTGCCTGCGCTTCCCAGGCCAGCTGAATGCTGACCTGCGGAAGCTGGCCGTGAACATGGTCCCATTTCCTGGCTGCATTTCTTCGTGTCTGGCTTTGCCCCACTGACCAGCCGGGGCAGCCAGCAGTACCGGGCCCTGACCGTGGCTGAGCTTACGCAGCAGACGTTTGATGCTAGGAATATGATGGCCGCCTGCGACCCCCGTCATGGCCGCTACATAACGGTGGCTACCATTTTCAGGGGTCGCATGCCCATGAGGGAGGTGGATGAGCAAATGTTCAACATTCAAAATAAGAACAGCAGCTACTTTGCTGACTGGCTCCCCCACAACGTCAAAACAGCTGTCTGTGACATCCCACCCCGGGGGCTAAAAATGTCAGCCACCTTTATTGGGAACAACACGGCCATCCAGGAACTCTTCAAGCGTGTCTCAGAGCAGTTTACAGCAATGTTCCAGCCCAAGGCCATCCTCCACTGGTACACCGGCGAGGGGATCAGGATGCCACGGCCGAGGAGGAGTTTGAGGAGTATGCTGAGGAGGAGGAGGCCTAGAACTTTCCTTTCCTAGGTAAAGGGGGGGAAGCGATGTGGATTGTTTACTGTGTTCTGACTGCCATGTGTCGCTACGCACTTGTTCGTTTGTGTCTTCACCTTTCCTCCTGCTGCAATTTAAAGCATTTTTATAGTATACGATTTTGCCTAATAAAGTATTATCATAGCATCTGGCTTCACCTCCAACTTCTATCTATGGGCCCCCCTCTGGCTACGGCTGCCAGATGTGCACGGTTGTCCTGCAAGGCCGAAGCTGTCTGGGTTTGTCGCATGCCTCGGAACAAGCATTCCAGTGGCTCCAGGAGGGGTCGGCATGGGCTGTGGACATGGCAGGCAGGCTTCACATGAACCTGGGGATGCCCTGGGCCTTGGGCGGCTACGTGGTGGAAAACCTGTTCTGAAGGCAAGCCTTGGCTTATCCCATGTTCCAGACTTCTAGGGGACCAGCTGGCCCTCTGTTTCTGGAACCCTAAAAGTGGTCAGTGACCCTGGTGGGCAATGTCCCCAAAGTCCCATCTCAGGGTAGGAATGTGGTCAGGCAGCTGGCTCTGAACCAGCAATGAAGGGTGGGCAAGCAGGACCCCAGCCACTCCATTACCATGACGGCCTGGGTGTGTTTGTAACCTCATTCTCTTGAGGTGGGCGTGGGTTATCTGGCAGGGACTAGTGGGCAGAAATCAAGCCCAGTGTATACTCACATGCACTGACCCCTATGTAGAAGGGGATTAGGTCCTGGGGGCCATAGATGGTGGTTGCTCGGCCTGTGTGCTCGGGGCAGTCTCTCCAGAGGCACAGATGGGGTTTCTGAACAGGACCTGCGGAGATGAGCAGGTGCTCACAATGCTGCTTCCCCCAACTGGCAGCCAGTGAGAAAAACGCCCGAGTGGAGGTCTGACCTGCTCCAGTCTGGAGGGCTGATGCTCTCTGAAAAAGTGACTAATTTGTACTGTCTGCTGTCTCCCTGTTCCCCTCTCCAAAACTTCAGGGCAAAAATAATCCAAGATTGTCAGGATGAGACTGGTGAGGGTGGCACCTTTGGGAATAGGCCCTTTAGCCTGGCAGAGTCTCCTCCCCAGGCTTCTCAGGGAGCCCGCACTTCAAAGCCTGCTTTGGGGAAGCTGACATGTAAGAGATGTGTGTGTGAGCTGGGTGCCGGGCAGCATGCACGGACGGTGCTCTTCTATCTGGCTCTTGTAGAACTTGTCCACGGCCTGTGGGATGGTCTCTTGGTAATTCCCATCCCCACCCCCATCACACAGATAGGATGAAGCCAGCATAGCCTGGGGGTGGGCAGATGTACAGGTTCTACCCCAGGTCCCCTGGGCTTACCCACCTGCCTCAGACATGTCGGGGAAACAGGTGAGGCCCCTTTTTGTTCTCTGAATGTTGGCAATGGTCTATTGCAGCCAAATGGGAATGGGCAGGCAGGAGAGTGCCTCATCTCGAAAGAAGTGGCTCCTGGAAGCAGCTGGGAGGGGGCAGAGGTCCCCCATACTCCCCCCTAACCTGTTCTCAGAGCAGGAAAATGGGCCTCTGTGACAGCCCTGCTCAGTGGCTCTCATCTGAGATGGCCTTGCATGGACCTGGTTGGGAAGGTTCACCTGCAGCAACCACTGGAACCTGCCTACACCTAGTGTCTCCACTCACGCATGGGGCTAGATCTTCCTCCCTCCTGTAGTGGTACAGCCAGAGTGGCAGAGGGGGCAAGTCACTGCTGCAGTTCCCACCTGGGTCTGAGTGGGGGTCAGCCTGGGTGCCCATGTATTTCCCAATTACCTTGTTTCATGGACAGGAGTGTGCTTTTCCAGGCCTCTTTTCCACATGCCAGCTACAGGCCCAGGTTTCCCAAGTTTCTGGAGCCCCTCTTCCAGCCTGGCAAGCACGGTGTGTTGTAGGGGAAGGACATCAAGCCTACAGGCAGTGGAACCTGTCTGGGTATGTTCTCTACCCCCCAGAGGCCCCTGGTTGTTTACCTCTTTGGGTGAGAGTCGGCTTAGATTCTCGACATTCTTGTAGGACTCCAGAACTGTACAGACAGGAGCCCAGGAGGCAGCGGGGGCTGGGGCTGGCAGCTAACCAGTGTAGTGGGGGTTGTAGGGCTCAGTTTGGTCTTGCAGGAAATTCAGGGAGGCTTGGATTTGCTGAAGCTGTAGACAAGCTTGGGCTTGGATATGGAAACAGCAGGGAGCCGGGGCTCTTCTGCATGCTGGAGTCTGAGTAGTTGCACCCTGGTGCACCCACAGGTGTTCCCCACCTGGAGCACAGCTGTGGACAGAAGCCGGGAGAGCTGTGGAGGGAAGAGGAGGAGGAGGAGGGAGTCTCAGGGCAGCCCCAGCAGCCAGGCAGGGCCTCCGCAAGCGAGAGGCAGATCCAGCCTGTTGGCCACTTAGCAGCTGCTGGGCCAGCTGCAGACCACCTGACCTCTGTTCGGCAGTAAATGGGGGTTACAGAAGCACTTTCCTTCTGGGACTTCTGAAGCTTGAAGAGCAGCACACACCACGTGCTGAGAAAGCACCAAACTCAGGCAAGCTTCTCCAAGAGCACATCATCAGATTAGCATCCAACCCATACAGGACACCATCAAATCTCCCCATCCCTCCTTCCAGCCGAAGAAACCAACCTGTACAGGACACCATCAAATCTCCCCATCCCTCCTTCCAGCCGAAGAAACCAACCTGTACAGGACACCATCAAATCTCCCCAACCCTCATTCCAGCTGAAGAAACCAACCTGTACAGGACACCATCAAATCTCCCCATCCCTCCTTCCAGCCGAAGAAACCAACCTGTACAGGACACCATCAAATCTCCCCAACCCTCATTCCAGCTGAAGAAACCAACCTGTACAGGACACCTTATTGAAATCTCCCCATCCTTCGTTCCAGCCGAAGAAACCAACCTGTACAGGACACCATCGAATCTCCCCAACCCTCATTCCAGCTGAAGAAACCAACCTGTACAGGACACCATGGAATCTCCCCCTCCCTCGTTCCAGCTGAAGAAAAGGGAGTCTCTGTCCTAGGGGAGCGAGCACAGGCCTATCTATGCAGTGGGCACACGGCCCAGGTTGGGGAAAGGCCCTTGGATACATGCTGGTTTCACCAACCATCTGTGGATTGGGTTTGGCCCGGACCCCTGTACCCCAGGAGGCCAGTAGCCCCCTGCATGGGACAGGACTGGGAGGTGGGTGGGAGGGCTGAGCTTTGAGGGAAGCCATTATTTGGCCTCATGGGAAGTGGTGCAGGTGGTTATTATTGGCTCAGTTTTGCAGGACCTGGGTGATCACCCAAGGAGTGAAAATTGCCTTTTTATGAGAAATTGCCAAAGTTGATGCAAGCTCATCAGTTGAAAAGGTGAGTAATGTGGACAGCCAGCTTCACCTGCCCCTTCCCCACAAGCAACTGGTGTTCAGAGGTGGATTTGGTTCCTTCCCAGCCTTTCCCCTTTGCATGTAGCTGTGTGCTCGTACTTTTGTGTGTACACACACGTTCCCTGGAGGGGTTACTTTTATTTTTTCATTCGGGGGGATAACTAGTGAGGCAGCCGGACACTTGCTTATCTTGTCTTTTAAGTGTGGAGTCCTCTATGGAGTGGGCATCGGGGACTTTCTAGCTGGTCTCTGCCAGCTGTTTGGCTGCCCCAGTTTCCGCCCTTCACAGACATGCTGGCCACCTGGTGTGACATTCAGTGGCCTTGTTTGCAGCTAGTATGATGAGACAAGTGGATCAGGTACGTTATAAAACTCAGAGTTATAAAACTTTCTCAGAGAGAAAGCGGAGCTCGCCTGGTTAATGAGAGCCTGAATGAATGAGCCAGGTCACTGTGTAAAGGTCATACTGCTTCTGTCTCCTTGTGTGTCGCTTGCTCAGCTCAGATATTTCATAGCTCCCTGTACACAGGTAGCTGTGTTACCCTCCTAGCCTGCTTTCTTGGTTTGATACATGCCTGAGAGCATGTGGGAGCACTTAAGGTCTAGGGTCATGGGAGGACTGTTCTGCCCAGCCCAGCTCATCTCTCCAGCTCAGCCTGCATCCATGCCTTCCTCCGTCTGATTCCAGAGCAGGGGATGGGAGGTCTCACCCAACTGACCTCCAGCTCAGCCTGCATGCGTGCCTTCCTCTATCTGATTCCAGAGCAGGGGATGGGAGGTCTCACACTGACCTCCAGCTCAGCCTCCATGCATGCCTTCCTCCATCTGATTCCAGAGCAGGGGATGGGAGGTCTCACACTGACCTCCAGCTCAGCCTGCATCCATGCCTTCCTCTATCTGATTCCAGAGCAGGGGATGGGAGGTCTCACGCTGACCTCCAGCTCAGCCTGCATGCGTGCCTTCCTCCGTCTGATTCCAGAGTAGGGATGGGAGGTCTCATACTGACCTCGAGTTTATGTGACTTTTTCCACCTCTGCTTTCCCAGACAGCTTCTGCTGTGGGACTTGTAAGGAGATTTGTGAAGTCAGTATCTACTTTCCTTGTGTGGGTGTTTTATAAATTAGAGCCCTGGAAGGGAATAAATGTTAGAGGTACTCCAAACCCCTAACATCTAAACATCTAAGCCTGGCCCTTTTTTGGTGGTAAAATATATACAACTTTAATAAAACTTACCATTTTAACCATGTTTAAATGTACAGTTGAGTGGCATCCAGTATAACGTGTTGTACAACCATCTCCTTTATCCATATCTACAACTTCTTTATCATCCTAAACTGAAACACTATACCTATAAATAAGTATTTGAATAGAAGACTGATGCATTTGACTCCATAAAAATTAAAACTTTATAGGTGAGAAAAATGCCTCAAAGTCAAAAGTCAACAGACTGGGGAAATAGATCTGCAACATACATAACAGACAAAAAGCTAATTTGGGTGATGTGTATATATATGTGTGTGTATATATATGTGTGTGTGTGTGTGTGTGTGTATATATATATATATAGCTATTTTAAATTATTAAAAGACCAGCAGCCAAATTGAAAAATGGACAAGGGCTATAAAGAAACAGTTCAAAGAAACATGTAGATTTTTAAATATTTGCTAATTTTTTACTGTGGTAAAATATGTATAACAGAAAATTTAAGTACATTAAGTACAAATACATTGTTGTGCAACTATCACCACTATCCATTACAAACCTGTG